CCCCCCCCCCCCCCAGTATTTAGTTGTCTATTACACTATTCGCTATTACACTATAATAACAACTAGATACAAACCGGACCAAAATGAGTTTATAATTTTTTTGGTCTATCTGTCTGTATGTTCACGCATCACGCAAACACTACCAGTCCGATAATTATACTTCAATATCCTGGGCACATCACTGGTAATTTATTTTTCGGTTGATCAGTACCTAAACATTGTAGAGGTATGAAAATTTGTGGAAGTTGGCAACTGGTCTCCTATTTGTATTGTAACTTTCGTGAGACATACTAAATAAATTATTATGTTTTCGGCTTACTCACATAATTATTTGACGAGGAACTCGTCTAGTTTCAAGCCATGCTAGAGGCTCATATTCATGAGCATTGACTAGTCGAGTTCCTCGTCGAATTATTACGTGAGTAAGCCGAAAACATAATAATTTATTTGGTCTCCTAATTATCACACATTGATCTACCTTATAGTATAAGTATAGTCACTTTTAACTGATGTTTGATAATTCAAAATTCCAAATGCCTTTTTTGAAAGCAGAACCCGTTTAAATAACCGAAGTCTACGCCATATAGTACGTACATACTACCTACATGAATAAATGAATATTCCACAAAGACTACATGGGACGTTTGATGTCATAACATAATTATTTTGAGCGAATCGATAATTCATTAATAATTAAATTAATTAGAAGCCAGCCAGTCTGTAGTTAATTTCGGTGAAACCTCAATAAAATGGGTGAAATATTAATTAAAACCTTTTATTGGAGCCTAGATATGAGTTTTACACCTGGGTATGGATGGGTGAAATAGTTTTTATACAATTACTTGTAAAGAACACGCATTTAAATATATCAAAAGCATTTTTTTAAAAGTCCTTGACCGTTTGGAGGTAACGAGGAAGATTGTAATATTTGTAGATAAATATAATAAAAAATATAATTTCAGTTTTACGAATTTAAATACAAACAAAGAATAAACAAAACAAATAATTATATTTTTCACAATTTTTGATATTATTTCTTAGATGTTAAGAGAATGTTAAAGCAATGGTACCTACTCAAATATTATTATTTATCGTAGTATTTCGGACTTATCGAAAGTCTGAATGCAGGACATAACATCCTTAATTGGATCCCTAAAAAGTCTAGAAAGTTACTTAAACAAAACATGTTTGACATTGCGAATGTTCAGTTTTGCTAAATCACTTAACGATTTAGAATAATTAGTTGTTTTAGTTTAGACGTATGGCTTATAACTTGTGTGACTGTGTGTGGCTCTCTTATGTCTTGATATTGATTTTGACTCTATAGTCAATCCATATTGTATATGATCATCAACCATGACTTTATATAGATACTAGCGACCCGCCCCGGCTTCGCACGGGTGCAATATGCATGTATTATACATACAAACCTTCCTTAAGAATCACTCTATCTATTAAAAAAAACCGCATCAAAATCCGTTGCGTAGTTTTAAAGATCTAAGCATACATACGGACATACAGCGAAAGCGACTTTGTTTTATACTATGTATTGATTCATCATATTTACCCCAAAATAATTAATAATTATTCTAATGTAATTATTTCTGTTGTCGCAGGCAGTTCGAGCGGGTCGCCGGGGGCTCGCGCCGGCCGACGCTCCTCGCTGGCGCTCACGCCGGAGGACGAGCCCCTAGTCGATGTCGCCGTAAGTTGTACTTCATATTATATTAAAAACTTGAAGTTGTATAAAGATTGAGTTAGATTAGGACCATATTAATTCAAGTAAAAAACTATAATAGAAAAAGATTGAGAAGATCGAGACGAAAAAAGCTAGCAAACTTGACAAAAAATTAAAAAACTATTGGACTGCAACAATAGGGTAGATGACTAATTTTTATTTTAATGTCCGTCTGGTAAATTATTTTCAAATATTACATACGTATTTTTATTTTTTTACAGTAACAAATACTTTTGACGATACATTGATTTGAACTGTCGCGTGACGTCACTTCTATGTACATTTTATACGTAGAAATGACGTTTTATCCCCACTCCTAAACTTTTATTCGTTATGTCTAAGTATCATTTTATTATACAACAAAATAAAAAAATACGTGTCTTATATTTTTTCATTACCTAACTGACGGACTAATAAGATTTTTAATTTTCATACATTGTCATCATCCCTATTGGTATTACCTTATAAGTTACAATAGAAAATAAAACGCATACTAAACGGTCACAATTACATGCTCGGCCCACGCCAGAAGAAGCAAAGTATATATTTAAAAGCCCTAACTCATTTTAAGGTACGGTACAAATGTGCTTTATTGTCCTCTTCAAATAACGTTTGAGTACGCTCCCGTAGGGGTAAAGGGTCCTCCACCTTCACTAGTACAAATTTATTTGTCTGTTAGTGTTAATTTGTAAACGTTTAAACATATAAGTGCTCTAACTCTAAATGAAAAATGTCTTGCTCAGTCCAGTTAAGTAGCAAAATGCTCTTCTACCTACAGAAATATACTTGTACTACTTGTACTACTGCTACTAGAGACTTTAGTTTTAGCAACGGGATTTTCCCCATTACGTAAATATTTTTTTTGGGAAATCATCTCTCATTCGCTCCTTAAGAAATATATGTCACTCACTTACCTGGGTCTGTCTATAACTTGTCACTATCAACAAGATTTAAAACATCAAATACGTGTTCTGAGGTCATAGTATCAGCTTCTTTTACGTTTAAAGTAATCGTTACGAGTACGCGTTCGGCGCTCTGATTGGTTGCTTCATTGGCGCCGGCCAATCAGAGCGCCGAACGCGTACTCGTTTCGAATACTTTAAAAGTAAAACAAACTCGTACTAATGCCTTTAATTGATTATTCACCATTGGTCTATTGACAAATAATAATACATTACCAGATGGTACTATTATTGCGTAACCTAAATGCAAGGTCGATGCTCGCTTGATGATGAATTGCTGTAACTCGAACGGTCAAGCAGACCAATTTAGTTTAGGAAACAGTGGACTATGACAGATGCGAGCAACGGTCGATGGCATACTTGAATTGATTGATAAGTGTGTTGTCTTCATACTTATAATTTGTCTATTAATTAAAAGTATCAAGACTTTTTATTGCGTTTTCCGATGGTGATCTGATCACGGTTGATCTTCATATTGAACTTTTTCACTGATACTTCCTGACTGACCTACTACTGGTACATTAGGTAGGGACTAGGCAGCAGTACTGTCTAGTAAACCTGAATGAACCTTTTATACATAAATTTACTTGGCACAGCCTAGGCCTCTTTGTATTGTGGACAAGGCAAATCTTGTTTTAGTATGGAACAAATCCATCGTCCCGGTGTAGACTGCCAACAAGCTGTTGATGATACTGATGTATTCTGAAATCCTATCGTCTTGTTATCATGATGAGACCACCTCATGATTATAATAAATGACAATGACCAAATTTGTATGGAGCGTGGTGCCTTTTTATTTTTTCGCGGCAGTTGATCGGATGTGGAAAAATTGATGCAGAATAACATTACAAACAAAAAACTATATGGGATCTAATATCAAAAACCAGTCCGAATCGAGTTAAATCAGTTCAAAGATGTGTAAATAGTGCTTATTATTCCTGTTATTTTGATAAAAATATGAATAATTTAAATTAAAATAGCAATATAAAATGTTCGACTCCAACTCCTTTCAACGCTCATAACTCAGTACGGACTGAGATTTTGATATATGAGCCCATAGACACAATCGTTTGTAATGCCATTCTAGATAATATTTTTCATAAATCATCGATTGCCGCCAGAAAAAAGAAAGGCACCAATTTTAGTCAATGCCCTTTAATACCTAGATGCCTAATTTTTATTTTAATATCCGTCTGGTAGATTATTTTAAATCATTAGACACGTATTTTTAATTTTCTTACAGAAATGAAAACTTTCGACGATATATTGATTTGACATGTCGCGTGACATCACTTATAAGTACATTTTATACGTAGAAATCACGTTTTAGCCCCCACTTCTAAACTTTGATTCGTTTTATCTAAGTATTGTTTTATTATACAACAAAATAAAAAATGCTTATTAATATTTTTTCATTATCCCATACCCTGTCATCATCACAATTATAGAAACATACAATAAAAACAACTTACACCCGAATACTGAAAGGCTACTCAATTTTACATTGTACTTAAATATCGTGCCATCTCTGTCATTTACAAAGAATTTGTAGCGACAGAACTATACTTCCACTTAAAATTGAGTGACGGTTGAGTATTTGGACCTTAGTCCAGTCGCGGAGAACCAAACAGGTTACCGAGGCTCCGGCTCGAAGCGCAGGAGAATGAATGGGGTGGTTTTTAGTCAGTAAGAGTCTGACACTCCCTCCCGCCTCACCCAGGCGGGAGCAGCCATTCGATGATTTTCCCCCATTAAAAAAAAGTCCATCAACATATAAAAAAAGTTCAACAACACAATAGCGACTGAGTTCAGTACCTAAGTTACAAACGTGCATAATTTCAACTAGTTCCACGTAGTTAACACTTAACCTTAGTATCGTTATTTATTCTTGACTTGTAGCAAATTAATTCTCATCGCGACCGACTCTAACCTTTACATCTAACTTTATAAATATTATATTTCAGTGTTTATTCTTGAATGTTTAATAAAGTTTTTCTTTTTGACAAACTTAGTTGTACCTATGTATGTATGTGTTCGTATGAAAATCGTAAATTAAATATGTTTAAATTCTGAAATACTACTTCTTTTCATCGGTGAAATGAACGCAAATACTCTTGAGCACAGAGTATAATCTAGGACTAATTAATTAAATGGAAAATTTGATGTTCTGTGTACGTGACATCTTGTAATAATATTATACTTTCAATCTTACACACATAATTATTCGATTCTCTTTTTGAACTTGGTATTTAACATACAAACATATTTTACTGACATATTCATAAAAACGCCTCAAAAGTCAGTATTTCTTTATTAAAACCTCTTATTTCTTAAAATTCCTGACCTAAAAATAAATGCCTTATAATGACAAAAGTCGAATTCCATTTTTAGCAAAACCAGTGTATCTCCAACTACAATAATAGCTCTCAACTACCCAGTACAATTACATTAACCCATATATAATAACAATCCAATTCCGTTTTCGCATTAACCACCAATAAAAAAGCACTCGGAATTGTCATAACGAATTCAAAAGACTAAATTGGTGATTGAATTCTGGCGCCGAACCAATCAGATGGGTCAAGGTCCATGTCCGTTTGTCGCAAAACACCTCACTTCAGACGGCCTGCGCAGGATTGTCCATTTGCAGTGATTAATGATGATGTGATCATTTTTTACGAGCGCTTGATTGGTGCTAAAATATCCTCACGAATGAATGACTTTACGGGTCAGCGTGTTATGGAAATCGTTCCATCCAATATGGTGTTTTTGGAAGTTCAGCTCTTTGTGGGATGGTATGTATTGTGTCATGTTGAATTTAAATGTTTAAAAAGTTCGTCAAAATGGTACTTAATGAGGGGTTTCGGTTGTCGGCACAACTGTTAAACGAAAGTGAGATTTTATCATTTTGCGATTAGTATCTATCATTTGAGAATTATCCTGTTACGACCCTATTTAACACTAAATAAGTTTTGATCGAGTAGGTAATAAAAATTTTTTGGCCTAACAGTTACCAAAGCTTAAACTTGAACTTTTTTAACTATCCTTCCGTATTCATCTAGTTCATGATGACAGATTGCATCAAACTTTTCTACTGTTTCTAACTAATCGTCCATAAAGTTAGTCCCATCTATGACTACAAAGTCAATGTCAAAGACTACCAGCTTAGTACTTACTTAGGTACCTGCTAAATATGTATTAGTTTAGTTGTCTGATCATGTATTATTAGCATGCTACTTGTTTCTATGGCATTTGATACAATAATTACTTAGTGACATCATATCATTAGCTTGAGTACGTATCTACGTAACTTATCATTTTGAAGCCTTAACTTTGGCCTTATTTGTTGAAAAAAGCAAGTCAATGTAAACTGATACATTGGTTTGTTCAGAATTGAACTTATTGGAATATGTTAAATGCAGCAATTCAAGTGAATTGCTAACTATTATTGGATTAGAAAACAATTTTAAAGGTATTGCCAATGCAGAATTTTCGACGACGCAGTCTGAATGGATTGTTTTGTCTCTTGAAACAATAATGTAAAAATTTATGTGATTATTATAATTAAACTGAAATAGTGTTATAAGTATTTCAATCAGCATATTGGACTGACTTATGAAACGTAATCAGTGCGCCTCTAATCGATAAGTGTTATCAGTCTGTATAAGGACAATAATTCTTAATATTTTAGTTCGATATAATACCTCGACTGAATAAGTCACGGAGGACTCGAAAATAATAAATAATACACGTGCTAAACAGTGGTGTTCTGTGAAAATTATGTGACCTGTGATCTTATATTATCTGTGTTTTGGTTGAGTTTTAAAAATGGTAGCTGTGTGAATGTAAGTATTTTGATAATGCAAAGATAACAATCAAAGTGCAATCTTTGTGACTACCAGAAGAGCACATTAATGTCGATGAAGCGATAAACGTAATGAGTGACAACCTTCAATTCTAAATCAAGCAGAATGTAGCAATTCAATCCTAACTACTGAAAAACAA